TTTCATCAATAGCTCTTCTGGAACCTCTATGGGGGGTAAAGGGTTAAATTTGATTTAAATTTTTTGAAAATATGTCCATTGGGTGCACAATTTTTTTTCTGTATAAGAATATGGAAGAACATTTTAGATATTCAAATATTTTCCTATTGATAGATGTCAAATACTGCCCAGACAGAATCATATTGTCACAAGTGATGATTTTTCCAGTCTTATCAAGCTGCAGTTTTTACGGGTGCACTGGCGAGATTTTTCTACTGAAAATATAATTCAATGTGCCCTTACTAATGAGATCATTTTCAACTTGAAATTGGATGTTTAGTAAAGGATATTGGTGGAGATTCAGAATTTCATTTTGAAAATTCTCTCATGATTTATAACTGAGTCTGTTCACGATCTTCATAAAAATGGTTGCAGAAATGTCACGAAAATTTTAGCTCATTTTTGTTCAAGATTTATTCAAGATTTGTATATTTTTAGATCACAACACTAATTTCAATATTACAGTTGAACGAAATCTGAACAGTGACAAATAGAAAAATTTTTCAGATGTTTATTATGTTCTACTGGAAGTCAGATAGAATTTAGGAGGTCAGCTGAATTTTATCGTGATCATGGTTGGATCTTGACATAAACATGCAAAGAGCACCTGGAGAAATTCGAGATGAGTGTGAGGGCGTGGGTATAGGACCTCAGTTAATCTCTCAGAAATCTAGCGCGCAGATACAGAGATTCTCACTGTGAAGGTGTGCTCTCTCAATCATGTACCTATGCAAATTACTTCAGATCATGATCCACTATTGATGTGCCTGGTTTTGCAGACACATTATACGGTATTATTGAATGGCTAGTAAATGCATTTAATGCTCGAAATACAGCCTCCATTGTTAGCGCTAGAGCTCTCTCAATACATATTGTTTTTAGTAGAATTCTCGAGAAATTAAAATTGTGAAGTTCATTGTTGGTGGGCGTGAAAAGTCGACTAAGAAAATCATTCTGTTAGTGATTGATCGGAAAGGTGTTAAAGTTTTTTTTATATAAAGAAGTTACACTACATGGTGACAGGAAGTTTATTTCGCATGTGACTCATGAGCTGAAAGTAGATACTCGAATATTCCTCAGATGATTAGTGTGAAAGGTGAATTTGTATGTATAAAACAAATGATCAGATATAGAGTTGATGGGCATAGTCTAGAAGGTTTTTGGATGATTCAGAGAATAGATGTAGACGAATAGGATGTTCACAAAGAAAGATAGCTTTCTTTCTTTCTCAGAATGAAGGATTAGAGGAAGCTATGTCTAACTTTGGTGATGTTGAATGAGGTTTTCATGTTTGAAGATGATGATTATACTAGAATGTTTGACAGATTTTTTCGTAGTTTTTTTATTATTGAGTTAATTAGGGTATAGGCTGATTTCTAAATCGTTTGAGGAATTGTAAAGAAGTTTGCTGATTTCAATAAATCTAGTGATATTTTATGGTTTTTGAGAAGCAGAGATAGTATTTAGAGTGAAATGGAAGTTTCGAGCTGTGATTGTTATAGCACAGCTCTATCAATATTAAAGATTTAGTAGACAAATTTATTCCGCTCTATTTTAACGTGAAGTCAATCGAACGTAGGTAAGAATTAGGCACAATCGATACGATTAACTGAGGTCGTAGTTCTCACCGGGATATTGAAGAAAACCTGAAGGGTTTTGAGAATGGGATTTTTTTTACGAGTTTGAATATCATTAAATCTTTTTGCTAATAAAGATAAGCTCTTTTGAGGATAGTCCCAGTTCGCTGATAGCGTTAAATACTACTACTATCGGAATTTTATTTTACAAGAAAGAGCACTTTTTTTATCTTTTCCTTCGAAACACTGCGCTGATTAATCGAAAAAGGTAACTAAACGCAGTAGACGAGAGCCGTTACTGTTGCAACAAGTAGCTAAGATATTTTTTAGACGATATTCTGAGCCTCAAGCCTCGAACATTCTTTGTGGGAATAAATTCAAGACTCCAAAGTTTGAACACTTGAATTGAAAATTTCGGTGTTTGAACCCTTCCAGTATTTAAATGTTCAACCATTGCATTTGAGAAGTCATTTTTCAAAAAAAAAGGATCTCTTTGACTTCTACGGTGCTATAATAAAATTACACAATTGTTTAGTAGCAAGCTTGATCTTTACCAGATAGTTTTTACTGAATTTTCCTAGATTATCCCATATCACTTTGTAGAAGTAATATCTCGGTATAAAGAAATTTGTGAGTAGCAAAAGTTTATCTGATATATCGATCTTTGAATAGGAAAAATCCAGTGAGTTAGCTTCTTGAGTATCTTAAACCATGAAGAATCTACTTACGTTTCGGGATACACACATGGAGCAAAACGAACACTGTCTCACATCCGCCGCTCACGACTGCGTGACAGGCAATGATGGTATCCGGTGTTGGTGTAAACACATAGGCATGCTCATTATTTGGTACTCGAATCATCTTAGTAATCGTGCCCGCTCGCTTGAAGGTGCACTTTATCGACTCGAAGCATGTTGTTGATTTCGGAAAGGCAAAATGCCAACCATATGAACAGCCGGTTGGTGGTGTTGGACAAGTGCCACATTGAAACCCTGTACTTGTCGCACCGATGTGAGCCGGCGTAAGACAAGCATCATGCGTTGCTAAAATGAAAATATTCTTTAAGTTTTTCTATTGGTAAAAGCTGAGAAAGTCATGAATAAAACTAACGATATCAAAATACTTCAGATTTACGTCTCTAATCAAGATCTTTCTAAAACCTAAAATGTTGAACAAATGATGGGCTGAATTTTGTCAAGAAAATTCAGCCTGAGAAAGAAGGAAAGTAATATTACAACTGTAATCTTCTGTAACAATTGAAATATTTTCAAAAGCATGACTTGAAGTAGCTACTATTCGAAGCTTTGCCAGGACGCACCTGTTTATCTCAGTGTTCTTCAGTTTAGGTGAATTAACCTTCAGACATATTAGGGTACATTTTGTTTGATGTCTTTCTAATCATGCACATAATTTCTTGTTTCTCCTGAAACTTATTCGATATTATATGCATGTTTTGTTGTCATCATCAGTATAACCTTCATGTGTCACCAAAAATAGTGACATTGTCTCGAGGAAAAAGTTATTTTCTTTCATGTATACATACATTGTTCCAATCGAGCTTATTCAATATTGGTCTTACTATCATTTTTCATTCGACTTGGAATTTTGGATGATTATTTTAGATGAATAAGCCACTGCTATGTATACACAAGCTGAATAGGGGTCTACAATGATCATCCAAGATTTCAAATCGAATGAAAATTAGTATCAAAGCAAGCATTCAACAACGTTCAATGGCAACAATGCAAATATGCATAAGAGATAATAGTTGTTCATTCAAGCAAACGCCATTGTTTTTGCTGAAACATGTTAAATATATGGACATTAACAACAAGATATGCATATGTGACATGTTCAAAGAACGAAACAATCAGTGCTGTGCAACAATATAGCGAAAAAATTCTCAGAAAAAAGACTGCAGTTGAGGAATAATTATGTTTAATTAGTCAACATTTTTATTTCTATTCAAATTTCATTCAAAAAGAAACATTTACGAAAATAGTCTGATCATGATCTATGACGGCTAAAGTTTGTCGATATGCTAGCAAGTCAAAAATGACATCCCAGAATATCTCATAAGTGGTTTTTATATGTCACTCGGAGTACTGTCAAAACATATCTACTACGCTGAAATATATACACACTCCAATTTCTTGACTTACAAAATTGTCAGAAGTTGAGGTATTCAAAATTTTTTAAATATCACACTGAACTCGTTGATCAAACTATAGATTTGAAGATGCTTTCAGAAGAAAACTGTAGAGCACTCGATTTCTTTGACGTTTGCTACTAATTTGAGTTTTCAAAACTGAATAGCGAAACTATTAATGCCAATGTATACAAAAATTTATGAAATATAAAGCTGTTTACCTGATGTTGTAATGGCTTTTGGTGTAGTGTTGATGGGAACGTGCCGTAACCATAATAAAGAGTTTAATGATGAATTAGTGAAGAAACTTTGAGTCATTTCGCCAGATTCTACAATATGCATTGAATGATAAAATTAGACAATT